AGAGAGAGAGAGAGAGAGGGAGAGAGAGAGAAAGAGAGAGAGAGAGAGAGAAAGAGAGAGAGAGAGAGAGAGAGAGAGGATATATTTCGGAGAGGGAGAGAGAGAAACACAAACACACGAAAGAGAGGTAGAGGCCTCGAGTGGTCCGCGTCTAAAGGTCTCTTGGCCTGCAAACGGAAGACTAACTGCTGATTACATTCTGCGCTCGACCCAGCCAGGTCAAAATCTGTGCTGGATGGACTAAAACATAACACCCATAGACGAATCATATTATTACCCTAGACCGAGCTCTGTCATGGCAGCCTCTTTTTGCATAGACTTGAATTATAACATTATCCTACACCGGGCACTAAAATGGCCGCCTATCTTTGCTCTCTTAAAAAATATCTCTGCGCTGGTGTGCCCCACAGGAAAAAGTGAACGGTAAAAGATCAGTTGCGCTATAGTCAAATGGCGCGCTCAGTGGTGAACCGGAAGTACGTCAGATCGCACAGTCTTGGTTTTTATAATACTTATTATCTTTGATAACAGCACAAGTACATATATATATATAAGGCAATGGCGGTACGGCTTACGACTAGTGGTGGATCTGTGACACTGTGTTTGCATCCACTATTGCTCAGTTGCCGGCACACAAGACTATTGCTGAATATCGCCGGCGTGTTGGTATGTTGTAATCCTGTGTCACGACGTGGTGAAATCAAGCGCAAGTTAAATTTAGGGCATATTATGAAGTTATTGGTATACAATTCAATGCTTGTTCATTTGCCCTGTTTTTGATGAAGGCAGGACAGAGTGGCAGATAGAATGATAGACTCAGGTATAAATTGACTGTCATTCTCAACAATGATAGCGAGGGACAGATAGAAAGATTAATAACAGAATTGATGATGAGATTGACTGAGGAATATATAGAGGGGTAGAAAGATAGATAGACATTATATAGAACATTTCTTATATAGCTTGACTGCCGTTTTTTTCGTGCTTGCTTACTGCTTGAGAGATTATGGTTCTCGAGAGACACAGACAGCTTTTCATAACGGGATAGATAGAAGTTGTGTTAAGTATATTTATATTAATTATTAATTAGATCTCTATATTTTTTA